TCATGTTTTCTCTGCGGATTCGGGGAGATCTCGACAAGCGCAGTCCAACCCCATCACCAAAAAAATAAAAAATAAAAAAATTCACCCGGTTTTGGGCCCAACCGGAATTCCGGTCCGGGCCAGTCCAACCAACCAGCCCGGCTGGGACCGGTCCGGTCCAACCGGCCGGTGGCCGGTGCAGCCCTGAGATCCTGTAGATTAGGTTGTGATCACTGATCAGATCCACGAAAAATATCAGAAAAATGAAAATAAATAAATAAAAAAAGACCATGAAATAAATGCTGCGGCAACTCGTCACATTTACCACTTTTTTTGCCTCTTTACAACGTGTGGGCCAATGGAAGAAGTACCCCCCTTTAAAAAAAAAAAAAGAAAAAAAAGAAGAAGTACCCCAACTTCCACGATTTTTTTGCGCTCAGTGGGATGCCTCAATAGCTCTGAAAATTGGACAGGTCTGCACAACGTCATTTGGTCGTGATCTTTTCAGTAAAAATGTTTTAAAAATAAAAAAACGAAGTACTGGGAAATAAGCTCTGCGCCGATTCGCCTCACTTACCATTTTTTTCCAGTCTACGACTTGTGGGCCAGAGGGAAAAGTCCCTACGCTGTTTTCCCGGGCCCGGGCCGGCCGGGCATGACCACGTGGCAGGATCCCGGGCAGCCCCAGCGCCCAAAAAAAAAAAAAAAAAAGAAAACCCAAAAAAATCCCCAAAAAAAACTAGTGTTGTGTAGAAGCAACTTTTCGCTGAGGGTCACATCAGAATTCCTCATGGAACGGAGGATAAAAAATTCTCAACCGAATCAAACTAAGGCACCCCCCTTTAAACCCCTTTAGCCCCTTTCAAAACAATTTACACCGCCCTTCCCCCACCTTGACAGCCCAACACTAAAAAAGAGAAGCGAGCCCAGATTTGGGCTCCTCTTTGAGAGCGCGGAAACCCCCCACCGCCAAAGAAAATTTTTCATTTTTGTTTTTCTCCCCCAACGCCTGTGCTACCGGCAGGCCTCATGAACCTGTGCTCCCGGTCCCCTGAAGACTTTCACAATGTCAACTAGACTGGTGGTTTAAAGCACTAGTACACGCCACCTATCGGTCGCAGGGCCCCTTCTGGAGCCCGCCCGCTGCCGATTCATTTTATCTGCGGCGCTCGGCCACCTCAATTTTCGGAGAGGCTCAAAACAGGTTCTCCAGTTGCCTGGGACCATCTACTGGTGCTTTAAGGCACAAGCGAGGGGTGTGCTCAAATACGAAATATGCCCCTCCGCTGTGAGCCTTCCACCACAGAGCCACAGGAAAGAGACCGACCAACTGACCGACCACCACCAGACTCCCTCAGATCGACCGACCGACCGACCGACCAACCGAGTCGGACAGACGGACAGACCAACCGAGTCGGACAGATGGACAGATGGACAGACCGACCGACTGACCGACAGAGTTGGACAGACCGACCGATCGACCGACCGACCGACCGACCGACAGACAGACAGACAGACAGACAGACAGAGAGAAATCCTCCAGGTGAGAAATGCCTAGCAGTTCATGCTTTCCCTGTTGGTAATTTGGAATGGATCTGGTGGCAATACTGACCAAGTACATCCATACAAATTCTCACCTTTCCAACTCCACTGCAATATGAACAACGGGCTTGAACACTTGGGTTGATTACACTGGTGGTGGTCCTTTTTGTGTCCCCTCCACTGGCTAATACGCTTGTCGCCTCTGCTTCCAGCACCGTGCCAGAGCCCGAACAGCGGCCACATGTCAAATACCCTGAGATTGGAAAACAGAGGCCACATGTCAAATACCCTGATCATTTGGAAAAACAGCGGCCAGATGTCAAATACCCTGATCATTTCGAAAAAAAACAGCGGCCACATGTCAAATACCCTGATCATTTGGAAAAACAGCAGCCACATGTCAAACACGGTCCAAAAAATTTCACAATTCCAAGCCGGATCGAAACACGGTCTAGTCCTTCGGGACATCCGTTAAAATTGGAATGATACAGAGAACCTAGACAAGATTAGCATGGCCCCTGCACAAGGATGACACGCATAAATTGAGAAATGGTCCAAAAACAAAAAAAAAAAAAAAAAGAGCAGTGCTGCTTCCTTCACTGCGTCTTCGAGGGATTCGACTTCACGTGACCGTGGCAGACTACGTAAATGCTCAAATGCTCAAATAGAACACCTGCTAAAGCTGGTCTGTCGTCCTTCAGGACATCCATTAAAATTGGAACGATACAGAGATTCTGAAGGGTAAATAAGCAAATGGCCCCTGCGCAAGGATGACACGCATAAATCGAGAAATGGTCCAAATGTTTTACCTGGTTGATCCTGCCAGTAGTCAT